GGTGCCAAACTCCTCATCTCGGCTGGCGCCGGAACAGCCGTCGCTGCTGCTCGGCCGCACGTCTGTGCCCTCCAGAAACACCTCACGCAGTGCTGTTCCAGGGGAGGGCTGAGGGACGAGCAGGACACGCACCGAGCGCCGTCCCGCAGCGCTGGCGACCCGGCCTTGAGAGCGAGTAAAGTGGTAACGGGACACACACCCCACACTAAAGCCACTCCTAGTGCTCCCAGGGATCACAGGGATTGTTCTTTTCAGCTTCAAAGCAAAGGCTACACGGAGAAGAGTCTTGTAAGTCATACGGAGCAGCCTTTGTAAAGCCTGGGGATGGAGCCGCACTGTAACACGTCCTGTGTCTGCACCCGGGGCACTGCCGGGCAGAAATGTTTACATTAATGTTGCATAAAAACATTTCACTAGTATTACTTTTTACGTTGTAACTGCGAGTTAGTCCTAGAACACTGGGCTTTGTGTAAGTAGGAGGGCTCGAAAAGGAAAGTTTCTCCGAACTGTCACTTCATCCATCTATTGCAATACAGTGTATCCAGTATTTAAAGCCCCGTGTGTACAGGAACCCCACCATATGTTCTGTTGCTGCCATGCTTTTAAGCAAAGAATCTTGCAGTTCACAGTTCACCTCGACCTGTATTATTTTACCACTAAAATACTGATAAAACAATGCTTACCTTAAAATCAGGGTTTCCCTCCGAGGCGCAGCATTTCCTCATGCCAGAAGCCAGGCTTTTGCTGTCAGTACCTGCACATAAGGCGAGCTTGAAAACTTTTTGGTTTTGATTTTTTTTTTCCCTCTCTTTTGCCTAGGATTTAATAACAGATAGTAAAAAGTAGTAACAAAGGCAAAAAAATAAAGTAGTAGAGTGCAACAGTTGAGAGAATACTTGTCTGTAAAAGCCATTCTGTAGTCATTATAATCTGATGGTGTAATTGGGGATTGTTTGGCTTCTTTAGCTAGAAGGGAGCAGTTAAAGAACAAAGCGTAACATTTGGTAACGCTAATTAAAACAAAGTTGAAACAAAGTTGAAACCTCCAGGTTTTGATCTAGCAAATGAAATATTCCATAAGCAAATTTAGCTCTGGATCATACATCAGTCATACATTGGATTATAAGCAGTATTTTCTGTAGGAGTCCATGCTTTACATGGACCATAGCTGCACAGGGAAACAAAGTAATTTGGCCATTCACTGAAGTCTTGCTTACACTAAGTTGTCTGTATTTGACCGAGGACTGCAAAGATACACCCCCCAGGTATAAAACTTATTTGTGGAATGTTATTTGTTGAGTATATGAGGCATTTGAAGATTATCTTTGCACTGGAATTCCTTCAATCTGACTCGTTTATGGAATTTTGCCTGAGAAAAGGGAAAGGCCAGTAACAAGTCATGCCTGAAATGCAATCTGACTAGGGAGAAGAATGAGAGGTTTCTGGGCAGAGGTCTTATGTAGACAGTGCATGATACTGGTGTCACTGAGGAGGAATATCTTGCAAGCTATTCACTTTTTTACTAATTTAATGGACATTCTCTCATAAGTGTAGTTTCTGATGTATCCGAGTGTGGATACATTAACTTAACTCCTCCATTTCAATTTGGTGAAAAATTTTCCTACTTAGGACACTCCTGGCTTCCTCTTTTTTCCATGTCCCTTCCTTTAATCTTCCCCAGCTCTGCCTTGCCAAATGGAAGGAGCGAACTGAGCAGAAACACCAGTTAATTTTTAGGAGTTACCTGTTGTGAAACAGCAAGCCTGAGGTATGTACTTCACAACAGGAGATGATACCAGGTTAGTAAGGTCAGATGCTGTTTACATGACACTCTTGAAGTCTAGAAAGAAGTCTGGCTGAGAATCAAGTACAGCATTTCTTAGACTCTTCTGCGCCCTCCTTTCTTACCTACTAAAACAAGCATTGCAGGAGTAAATTTAGGTCTTGATCTTAATAACCACATTTAATTTACACCCACATAGATGACACCAGTCTGTTTAAAATAATAGGTCAGTTATCAACAGGTGGAGTAATTTAGCTTCTAGCTTTAAAAAATTTAAAACTGTAAAACATTTAAAAAGTAAATGCATGGAAGAATAACGATCAAAATAACTATAAACACGGTAGCTGTGCTACTTTCATTTCTCTCTCAGTATTCAAGTTAATAGATCTAGCTGAAAATGAGATAATATTACAGAATTATTTTACAAAAGTGTTCCAGTATGAGTTACAGTAAGATCAGTGATCAAGAAGGGTGTATTGGACCATGATACTTTCTCATGCATCTTTCCCATAGTTTCCTGTGCTGGTTTCACTTGCCTTTCTGACATGCTCAGAACAACCTACTGTTTGATCAGTGCTAGTTACAGTCAGTGTTTGCTGCAAATAAAATGAACAATTTACATGGATAGAAGTGTTATATAATGTGTAATAGTATGGGTGTGCAAACATTGCACTGGTTACTCTTTATATATTAAAGATTCTCATTATCACAACAGGGATGATAGGTTTCAGTGAGCTTACATTATGAAATACAAGTGGGCTGCTGCTATGAAGAAACACTGGCTTACTAGACTGGCAGAGTCAACTTTAAAACTACAGACCTCTTACGCAATAAAGAGTTTTCTACCATAAGTGCTGACTTTATTCTGATGTTATCATATATTTATTTTGGTCTTAGGATCTGAAAATGCTTGTGAAAAGACTTCATTTATGTTTCTACGACAAGAGTTGCCTGTGAGATTGGCAAACATAATGAAGGAAATAAGCCTGCTTCCAGACAACCTTCTAAGAACACCTTCAGTTCAGCTGGTGCAGAGCTGGTAAGAACAGCATCGTTTCATACCTTTAAGGGTAACCTTTATACACAATGAACAACTCGTTCCCTTCTATAGAAAGGCCATTTCATGTGTGCGTTATGTGAACACCACTGAGGTTAGACCTGAGTAAGTATCTCAGTGTGACGTAAGTCATGAACTAAATTTATAGACTTGGGGAAAAAAGACCCTTAGGAGCAATTCGAGAACCCATAAGGGAGTTAAAAACCATTAAGTATTGCAGGTAGTCACATACGAGAATTCAGTAAAAATGAAAATCTGCCAGAACAATGTTTAATAGGGGACTTACCGAAAATGGAGAAGCTAGTTGAAGAAACCAACAGAAGCAGCCAAATGCACAAAATACTTGCAAAGCATAGTGTAAACCATTTCAGTGACAGATTATTGCACATTTAAGAGTAAAGTTGTATGAAAAAAGAACAATAGGAAGCTCCCAAAGCCAAAACATAAAAACAACAGAAAGAATATGAGGCTATTAAAAAAAATAAAAATCCTTTGAAAAGTAAAATTTCAGTAAGAAACTTACACATAAGCATAAATTTCTGCAAGATAAAAGCAAATTAAAGAGATTGCTTGGCAACTCCTAAAGGCACATGCTATCTGGAAAGGCTTTTGAAGTTATGAGAACAGAAAATCTGCCAGTGAATAAGTGATACTGATTAGATTACTTATTATAAAAAAGCTATCAATGAAAATGAAGGCTGTTAATGAAACACAAATGCTGAAATTCTCATGATATTAAATGACATTGCTCACATGGGAAATCAATTGCACTTGGACAAATGCAAAGAAAAACACAGAGAGGAACCTTCTCTCCTTGTATGCTTGCTTACTTAAAATGGAAACATAATTTTTTATGCTACTGGGAATATTTTTCTGATTATGTCAGTTGATGGGCAAGAAGGCAAATAGTGTTAGGAATTAAGTAACAAATGGGGAGGAATATAATTGTACCACTGTTTAGCTCATTATTCCTCTGAATTGCATTCAGTTTTAGTCACTCCATCCTGAACAGAAAAGACCAGGAGGGAGAATCAGAGGGTTGGAACAATTTTTACGTGAGGAGAAACCAAATGGGATTATTCAGCTTGGAGAATACACATCTAAGGAAAGAGATGGCAGAAGTACTTAAATTGTGAATAAGCTGGGAAGATTTTCTAATAACAGGAACTAGCTGGGGCTGCAAATAAGTGATCACCTACTGGGTTTAAAAGACAAGGAAGATCTTTTATGCATTCAAATTAAATCATGGAAATCATTGCTCTGGAAATTTAGGAAGAAAACATCATGAATAGATTTAAAAAAATCTAACAACATTTACAGGGGATAGGTCAATGGGATATATCAAATACAATGATTTGGAAGCAAGCAGCCTTGGAAGACCATAAATAGCTAACCAAGAGGATCTGGGGAGATGTCATCTGAATTGGTCATTGTAATGTTTCTTTCATTTAAAGGTATGTCCAAAGTCTTCAGGAGATCCTTGACTTCAAGGACAAAAGTTCAGAAGATTCAGGAGCTATTAATAGGTAAGGATTTTCTATCACATGTATTAGGTTAATATTTTGTAGAATGACTGGCAAGAAGGTGAGCAGCTGAATAAAAATGTCAGTTATCTCCAATCTTTATGCAGGATTTGCAGTAGCATCACCCCCTATCCCTCGCAGAACAAAACAAAACAAAGCATTTAAATTTGACCAAATGTTTACCATTTCCTTACTTGTAATGTTGGAATTGATGTATGGAACTTTACACCTGATGAGCAGGTTTGGCCATCACTGCTGACCCTGACAGCCATTTCACAGGCATGGGATGATGTGCATGAAAACGGCCGGCACAGTTTTCTCTTTTTCTTGGCAGTAATCAGGGTGATAAATAAATAATAATTTTCTAAGTAATAAATAATAGTTAATTGGCGATTGTTTCCATGTTAGATACTTGAAATTTTTAAAAAGACTGATCTGTCATCTTACTGCCATAGGCAGATGTGATATTTCTGTACATAATGGTCTTAATTTTGTAGTCAGATGCTCGTTTGCCAGGGTATTTAAATTCACTTGAAAGTGAAATACTAAGTGTATTAATTTTAGTTTTACAGATACTGTGATAAAAATCCGGAATCGACACAATGACGTAATTCCTACGATGGCTCAGGGAGTAATAGAGTACAAGGAAAGCTTTGGCATTGATCCAGTGACCTCACAGAATGTGCAGTATTTCTTAGACCGTTTCTACATGAGTCGCATTTCAATTAGAATGCTCCTTAATCAACACTGTAAGTGTCATTGTTGAAAGGAGGGGAAATGATACCTGTACTACATCAGTATATTTTTCTTTAAGTGCTTCATATATTCTTAAATGCTTCTTAGGAGCACGCTATTTGCCTTGCTATTAATAAACTCATTGTTAATATCATTCTTAAAATACTTACTAATAGTAGGCTTTCAAGTATGATGAAGATTGGAATTACAGTACATTTGTATTTAGCAAAACTGAAGACAAACTACAATGACAAAATTAGATTGGATATTAAATAATATTTTCTTTTTTGGCAGCTCTGCTGTTTGGTGGGAAAATTAATCCAGCTCATCCAAAACACATTGGAAGCATTGATCCTAGCTGCAATGTGGTTGAAGTTATTAGAGGTAAATTTAGCAAACAACAAGAATCCTGAAAACTTACATGGATGCCTATGCTGAGAGCCAAGACACATCTTGATATGCACATACTGTGTAGTTCTTTCCTGCAGAAAGCAGAAATTTAAAATGTAATACAGTTTAGTCACTTTTCTCAATAAACCCATTTTTTGTGAGAAAATGCAAAATCTCCCGGACAATGCACAGTGTTTTCAATTTTTGTTTCTCTTTCTGGCAGACTGCAAAGGAAAAAAAAAAAAAGTGAAAGGGAAAACGTAACCTTCTGTGTTTTTATTATAGATGGCTATGAAAGTGCCAAGAGTCTTTGTGATTTATATTACATGAGCTCTCCAGAACTCATCCTGGAAGAGTTGAATGGTAAGTGAACATGGGAGGAGACAGTCTCCAACATAGTGATGGCTTCTTCTAAAGTAGCTGTGGTGAAACGTTCTCCTTCCACTTTTAATATAGTTAATATGTTCTATGTATCTATTGTCCTAGTTTGGTGTTTTGTTGTGGGGTTTTTTGTGTTGTTGTTTTTTGGTTTGTTGTGGTTTTTTTTTAATCTGACAGAAGGCTTTCCCTATTTCTCCCTTTAATTAGAAAACTGAAACCAGCAGAAAGGTTTTTAACACTACAGCTGTTGATAGAACAGATTTTAGCAGCCTCCTTCTCTCCCTGATTTTCTTGTGCCTGTACTGTACACTGTCTGTTGCATCTCACTCTCTGCATTTCTTGTGACACTTTTAAGATTTATATGAAACATTCCATTCTAATTTATCTTGCTTATTGAGCTTTCATGTTCTTGTAGTTGTAATACAATATCATACACTCAAGTCATAGTAAAAATAATTTGAGTGCATTGGCTTTGACTTCAAAAAAGGTTAACTGTATTGCTATGAACTCAGAGGTCAGCTGTTGTCCTTAT